ACTGAGGCCCTGACCCCACCTGCCCGAGAAGGCAAGGCCCCGAGGGTTGGTAAAGCCTGATAACACTGGCAAACATGACATTTTTTAGCAGTGTGTGAGCCAAAGGAAACAAAGACAGTGATGCCCCCGCTCCCCGGGGACCAAGGGGCAACAGCCACAGCCTCCAGGGAGAAAACAGCCCGGCAGCCACGGCTGCTTCTGGCCCCTGGGTCCCAGACAATACACCTGGGCTCGGATGGGCCACACCCCCGCTAGAAGGGCCTGGAAGCCTGGCAGAGGGGCTGGCCAACCCAGAGTCTGCAGAGCTTCCTGAAGCTGCAAGCCCACCTCTCGGGGTGGCCGAGGGGGCGGGGGCTCCCAGTCCCCCGGCAGGACCCTCAGAGGCAGGGACAAGCAAGGGGGGACCCAGTTCTCTGAAGGATGAGGCGCGTGCTAAAGCTCCAGCCCCAGGCCGCAGGTTACTTACGGATTCCGAGCCCGTGAGGAGAAAGGAGCAGCACCCTAAGGGCCGAGCGTGGGTTCCCCAAGAGCAGTGGAGTCACATGGCTGTCCCTTCTGGGCCTGGCTCCCTCTGTAGGCACAGACAGATGGAATTTCTCGTCCTTTCCTTCAGCCATTCAAAAACCCGAGGGAATCACCAGGAAGCCTCTTGAGAATGGAGGCTGCGGGTTCCCCGATCTCGTGGGGCCCGGGTGGGGCCTGAGCCTCTGCATTTCTACTAAGTCCCCAGGTGCTGCTAGTGCTGGTCTGGGGACCACATTCTCAGAACCCCTGCCCTCGAGGAAGTTTCGGGGGTGGGGATGGGGCGGGGGCTGGGTGGCTGGAAAACGCGCAGGCCCGGAGCCACGTGAATGGCCGCCCAGAATGAGAATGTCCGAATGGGGGTACACGGAGGTGAGGGGTGGCCACCACCCCCTGAGAAGCCACAGCAAGCCGGGCCAAGAGCTACCTGGGGGCCAGGTATTATATGGATAAGGAGACTGAGGCTCAGAGAAGTGAAGTAACCCACCCAAAGACACATAGCTTCTAAGCTCCAGAGCTGATGTACGACCCAGGGTCCCTTGACTCCACACTGTTCACTCACCCCCCTCTGCCAATCAGAACCACGTCTACCGGAGGAAGGGTCTCTACTGGTGTGCCGCAGGGCTCTGCCTTCAACCTTGGCCGATTCACAGTTGGTCTAAGATTTAAATATATCAAAGGCATGCCAGTCCTCCCATATGATAGGAAACCTAGGATATAAAGGGGGCTTCATTCATGCTCAGAAATGTTTTAGGAGTCTATCAGGAAAGTCTGAAAGCCACGAGATTCATTAATTTGTTTAGTCAGTATTATCTGAGCTAGCACTGTGTCCCAGGCCCTGCGCTAGACGCCTGCAGTACATCAGTGAACAGAAGAAAACACAGAAAGTCCTTGTCTCAAGTAGTTTTTACTTAGGCTGATTACTGCTGTTTATGACACGAAGGCAATGGAAATGAAAGCCATCTGAGACTCCCTGGCCTCGAGCATCGGCCTCGCTTCCTCTCCTTGCCCAGTCCCGGTCGGTTCCAGCCCTGGGCTCCTGCGGTGGGTGGGCGCCACCCCAGTTTCCAGGCTGCCCCTCCTGCTGCTATCATCGCGAGCTTCCTTCCACATCGCCTCTGGCTCCCGACCTGCTCCTTCCAAAGGCTGCAGAGTATTTCTCTCTGGGCCTCGGCCACCACTCGCTGACCCGCGGTCAGCAGCGGCCACGGAGGTCAGTCACAGCCTCTGCTGGTAATATCGGCACCCTTGGGGGGAGAAGGGTTCCCCCAGTTTCGCGGAGCTGTTTCCCACGTGGGGGTTGCCCCGGGACTGGACTGGCTCGCGGGATGGCGGTGCAGACGCATGAGACGAAATGCCAAGGGGGAGGAGGTCAAGTCCTCCACTGAGGTCAAAAGTCAGTGGCATAGAACCGAGTTGGGGAAACCGAGTCATGGTAAATGAGCAAGGGGACATCGAGGTTCGTCCAGTGGTCGAGTCGGTGGTGCTTTGGGGCTCCGGCGAGACCCCCACCGGGGTCACCAGCTAGTCCCTGCCATCCTGGTGGTCCGGCTCCTCTGAAGATGTGTTTCCCTTGTAGACCTCATGACTCTTGCGGCAACTGCACACGGAATGTGGCTTACAAAGGTCAGGCAGCGGGCTGGGAGGGGCGCTCGCGTGCTGGGCCCTCCACGGGCCAGGTGGTTTCAGTCTGTGTTGATTCAGCTCATCTCCCAACAGCCGCAAAGACAGAGGCTTCCAGCCGCGCTGCACAAGCAAATTGCTGGTAAAACTCCCCGGGGCCAGCCGCACCCCCGCCCAGCCAGATCAGAATCTCTGGGACGGGGGGCCTCAGTGTTAGGGTAGCTTTAAATTCTCACCAGGCGATTCCCATGAGCGGCGGGGATGAGAAGGCTCTCGGCCATCTGCCGCGCGCGCGCACGCACACACAAGGCAAGGGAAGCTCAGAGGGGTTCAGGCACGTGCCCTAAGTCACACAGCTGAAGGTGATGGAGCAGAGTCCCTGTTGGTCTGACTCCTGGGCCGGGCCCCCATCCACCCTGAGTGTAGGGCAGGCACGTTCACTCCTGCCATAACTTTCCCCCTAGTTTTTAAGGAGAGGAGGAATGAATCAGGAAGCAGAGAGTGTGCCTGCAGGATGGGGCTGAGCCCCCCACCAGACTCGCCCTTTGTGCAGACTCTCCTCTGGGGGCTGACCCCACACTCTGCTTGTGGCTCCTGACCTCCCCGGTCTCTCCATGGGCCGGGGGGGGGGTTGGGGGTGGGCAGGCCTCCTCCAGCTTTGACCTCATTTCCCACAGGGCTCTGTGGCGACTCCCTGGGTCATGAACCCAGGCTGGGCCAGGCCCTGGCAGCTCACACCCCTGTCCTGGGGCGGTCTGCCACCAGACACTCTTACATCTCAGTGGCCTCCACCACTTCATGGGGAAGAGTGGCCTTGGGCAAGTCCCCCCGGTTTCTTCATCTGTCAACTCAACTTGTTATTGAAAATATTTGCCCACCCCCTCTGGTTGTGGAGAGTCGAGGAGATAAGGTGGTGACAAAGTTTTGTAAATGGCGAAAGCAAATATTAGCTCTGGTTTCATGTGCCGGAAGAGCCTGGTCTCGTCGAGCCAGGGCACCTGGTCACAGTCCCACTGTACTGCTGGCCGTGATTTGGGGCCACGTTTACCAGGGCCTCAGCTTCCTCACCTGTTGAATGGGAGAATAGTAGCCCCGTGCAGCCATTCCTCACCGGACTAGCGTACAGACCAAACGCACCAATCCCCAAAACGCCTTTCAGCGTGGGCACCTCAGACCAAGGGCGACTATGGTGGTAGGCAGGCCTTTCTGGAGAGTTCTTGAGGCCGGGCGTGCCTTTTTGCTCCAGGCAGGAGGGAGACTTTGTCCCTTCGCTAGTTCACTGCCTTTTCCCAGGAAGTGTCCAGACTCGGCAGTCCCAGCCCTGAGTTCAAGCCCCAGTTCTCTCGCTCATGCTGTGTGACCTCCGGCCCAAGACTGGCCTCGCTGAGCCTCAGCCGTGTGTAAAGAATATTCCGTTTACAGCCTGGAGGTGCCCAGCAAGTGACAATGCTATGGGAACGGCCACCAGGAGGAAGGGAGGAGGAGGGGGCCAGGAGCAGCCCCTGGGAATAGTCCTAGGATTTTGTAGGGAGCGAGAAATGGTAGTTTCCATATATGGGGGCCCAGGGGGTCCTTTCACCTGAGGCTACCCTATCCTCCGTCCACTGGTTCCCCAGCTGCCAAGCACCTGCAGGGAGCTTGGGGGAGGCTGGGGGGTGGGGTCGGGGCTGCTGTGTCTGAGCTCCTCCTTAATGCTGGGCCCCTCCGCAGCGGCACCACCTTGCAAGTCCGGCGCCCTGGTGGGGAAACTGAGGCTCAGAAGGGCAGCACCCCTCCCAGGGCACACTGCCCAGCTGTTTGCAATGAATGGTCCAGATGCCCAACCGGTGTGGTTTCCCAGGGACTTCCACTGCTGAATCCGGGGACGTCACAGTTGGCAGGAGCAGCTGGTGCCCATGTCCAGTATAGAAGGCTAAGGAGAGCCACGTGTAAATTTTCCAGTCGCCACATTAAATGCATAAAAAAAGAAACAGGTGAAATTAATTTTAATAATATCCCTTATTTAACCCAAGATGTCCGAGATATTTTCACTCTGTCACGTAATCCACAGAAACATTATTAATAAGACGTTTTACCTTCCTTTTTTTATACTAACTCTTCAAAATTTAGTGTATTTTACACTTACACCTGGGTTTGCCAAATACAGGCCGCTCAGGTAACTGAATTTCAGATAAACAATGAAAAAAGAGGTTTTTGTTTTTGTTTTTTTTTTTAGTATAAGTGTATCCTAAATATTGCATGGGACATATTTACACTCAAACCTCTTTCTTATCTGAAATTCAGTGGCCTGTGTGCCTCTAATTCTATTTGCTCCATCTTGCAACCCTAGTTTCGGCACCTCTGAATCCAGAGGCCTACCGGCCACCTGAACTGGGAGTGGAGAAGGGGACAGGCAGATGTGGAGGGATCGGGGCCCCCAGGAGAGTGTGAGAGAGCCAGGCACCCCAAGTCAACCTGCCTTGCTCCTCCCTCCCCACGGCGCCCCCTAACCACCATCTCTTTGTTGCCCGTGACATTATCTCTTTGTCTTGGTTGAACTTTTGGGAAGCAACTCAACACATTCTATTTCCCACAAATCTCCTGGCACAAAAACAGGCGACAGGGAAGAAAGTCCACATCTCACCCACAATTCTCTGTATCAGCAAATTTTCCAAATCCGGAAAAGGGGTCAGGGCCAGCGGGGGTGGTGGGGCAGGTCGGGAGGAAGGATGGGCCAGACCCAAAGATGGGGGACCTGGGAGCCCACCTCCTTCCCAGGCCTTCCTCTCTGGACCCCAAGCCTCAGCCTCGTCCCACGGAGGCTGAGACACTCCAGGTGGGAGTCTCTGACTCGGGGTTGTCGCTCTCTGCCTCAGTTTACACATCCAAACACACTGGGAAGTTGCAGTCCAGAGCCCTGGGATGGGGAAGTGGACACAGCCAGGCGGCTGCTGGGGAGAGATGCAGCCTGCACAAGAGGTACGTCGGAGGGGAGCTGTCCTCCCCCGGCTGGGGCTGTCCCTGGGCTCCTGGCATGTGGGGGGTGCACATTCCAAGTGTCCGGGAATGCTGGAACAGAGACCCAGAGAGGTGGGCCGCAGCCGAGGTCACACAGCATGTCTGCAAGGGGCTAGAACCAGCTGGGGAGCCGGGGCCCAGAGCAGTGGGCTTCCCGCTGCCCCTGCCACAGGCCATGTACTGTGTCACATGTGTCCCAGAGGAGGACAGCGGAGGCAGGAGGGAGGTGCTCCCTCACACCTGGCCTGGTGCAGCCCCCTTCCCGGGCTTGTGTCCCCTAATCTCCTCCCTAAGCCCAGGGTCTCCCTTCTCAGCCCTGCTCTCTATGCTGCCCCCCCACCCCTCGGTTCCCCCACCCCAGCCCTTCCCAGCGCCAGCCAGCTCACCTCTCTCCCTCCCCACCTCAGCTCTCCCCTCACTCAGTCTCTGTCTGTCTGTCACTCTCTCTGCTGGTCCCAGCAGAACTCTGCATCCTCAGAGGTATCTTTCCTTGGTGGGACGCCAGACCCTGTCCCTAAAAGAGCCCCTGGCCTCCCTTTCCCGTCCCCCCTCCCACTTCCCGGGGCATATTTTGTGCTGTGCACATTTCAGCCCCATCCCCTGTGGGCCACCAGACCCAGGAGAGAGACCACACAAACTGTAAGGGGCACCGCAGCGTTCCATAATCAAGACCCACAGTGTTGTGTTCCTGTGATATTTTTAAAAATCAAGAGTAATGCCAAAAATTCGGGATGAAGAAAAGAGCAAAGTTTTAAATAAAGACAGCATCAGTATTCTGAGTTTTCCTCATGCATCAGGCTCCAATATGGTTCAGCACAGCGCTGTTACAGATCCTGTCTGGTTCTGAAAATTTAATTATTTTAATATTTAATCTCCACTTTTTGCATTACTATTGACTTTTTTAAAAAGTTTATTTATTTTTAAGTAATCTCTACACCCAACACAGGGCTTGAACTCACAACCCCAAGATCAAGAGTCACACGCTCCCCAGACTGAACCAACCAGGCCCCTAATTTGGATTTTCAAAAAAAATTTTGCCCTAAAACATGATTGTTTTCATCACTGAGTGTTTTGGGTACCCCCTTAAGCCTTGCATGCAAGGTGAGTGCCTCACTTGCCTCCCACAGGCCGCCGCCCCCCAGCTACAGGGAAGTCCCCAGACAGGAAAGGATGAAGGGGTTAGCCATCACATCAGTGATGAAAATCACAACTGATGTGCACTGAGGTCTTTGGGCTATTTAAATACTGTTCCAACTCTACCCCTTCCTCCCTCCCTTCCTTCCTGAGCACCTACTATGTGGGGAGCACCAGTCTAGATTCGTGGTAAAGCAGACACGGGAACACTTCCCTGCCCATGCAAAACCCACATCCTGGTCTGGGGAGAGAGACACTGAAATCATAAGTAAGGATCAGCAAAACGTGAGGTGTGCAGAGAAGAAATAACCAAGAAAGGAAGATAGGAACCAGGGAGCCGGCTTCATGTTTTAGGCATGGGAGCCAAGAATGGCAACACCTAACCACCACACCCACCCCGTGAGGGAGAGCCTGTTTGTTGGCCCCATTTTTCATATGAGAAAACTGAGGCAGCTTGCCCAGGAAGTGGCAGGGCCAGATTCTCACCCTGGGCAGGCCGATGCCCCAGGGCTTTATACGGGGTGGGGCGAGTGGGAGTGGAGAAGGGGGCGACACCAAGTGCAACCAGGGCGTCTTTCTCCACTTCAAGGGCCACCTCCCCAGGGGAAAAGGCCGGGTTGGCTGGGTCGGGGGCCCCCGGGTCCTCTGTTTACTGACCGAGCCCCGCCCCCCCCCGGGGGGGGGGGGGGCCTGGCCCGCCCCCCCCCCCCCCCCCGTGGCGGGGCCCCTTTAAGACCGGCCCTGGGTCTAGTGCAAGTTCATTCATCCAGGGGCCCCTGCTGACTCACGCTTATGAAAGTGGTTTTCCCGGCCCCGCCCCCGCCCGCCTCCTCCCGGGCCCGTGAAATACCCCGGCCTCCGCGCCTCGCACAGCCTCCTCGGTGCCCGCGGGGAGACGGCCGCCTGCTCCGCCGTGGCTCCGACCGCGGCCGTCCCGGCGCGCGCCAGGCCGGGCTCGCCGCGCCCCCGCGCCGGTCAGGTGAGTGGCCCGAGCAGGGCCGGCGGGTGGGAGACGGGGACCGGCGGGCTGGGGCGGGGCGGGGCGGGGCGGGGGGGGAGCCGGCCGGACGCTCTCCCCGCCGGCCGGTTCCCGCTCCGCCGCCGCCGCCGCCGGCCCCAGGTGCCCGGCCCCCTCGGCCGCTGCCGCCCCGGCGCACGTGACGCCGCTCCGGGCAGGAAAGGGAGGTGTGGCCGCCCGGGCGCGCGACACGCCGCCCGGGCCACTGGGTCCCGCAGCCCGGCCGGGCGCTCGTCTTGTCCCCTCGGGGGACCGGGCACTTGGCGCCTGACAGGCTTGGGGTGCTGAGCACGGGGCTGGGGGGTTGCTCCAGGTGGGGGAGGCTCTGGAGGGAGGCGGCGCTCCCCGGGGGCCCCCGAGGCTGCGGGCAGGTAGGACTCGTGTCCACGGACCCTCCTCACCCAGCCTCAGCTTCATGTCCCTTTCTTGGCGGCACTGTCGCCAACGCTCTTTTCCGCAGAGGGGCCTCGCCCACCGTCTGACAGGTACGGCAGGCAGGACTTGCACTCTAGGGCATCGTCTGGCACATTGCTGGGCAAGACGCCCCCTCCGTCGTCACCACCACGTCTGTCCCTCCCCCGCAGGGATAAGAACGCTCTCCGAGTTGGGGGGGGCACGGGGGGGGGGGTGTCTCAAAGTCAAGTGAGCAAAGGGCCCACCAGCGGTGCCCAGGAAATGCAGCCGTTCAGGTGTCCTGGAGGCTCAGAGCAGTTTTAAGCTCTAGTAACCCTAGAAGTGCGGGTGCTACAAACTTCAAGGAAACATCCTGTCATTTAATGCTGCCAATATTCCCATTTCTTCTATGCTTATTTGCTTCTGGGAATGACAGTCTGTCCCAGGAGCTGTTTGCACTTGGCACTTGCTGTCTTCAGCCAGGAGGGACTCAAACAAAAAAAGTTAACATTAAAAGTTGGCCATTCTAACACCACAAAACTAAAACACATAAATGAAAATGAAAATAGTTGGAGATCATCCACTGTCTGTTGGCAGTGTGTGCACTGCTCCAAGGTAATGAGGGCTCTCAGCTGCTCGGGGACCTCGGGACACTGCACAGGAAATGACCTCGGGGTGGTGACCTCATGTATGTGGTATCTAGAAGTTTCTGGGAGGGAGCACTGAACTCGGAGCCCAAAAGCCCGGATGGTAAGTGGATTCCTCCACCTCCTGGGAAGCAGGATAAGAGGCGAACCAAGGGCTCCTAGGAGTGCCTCTCGCACTGGGGAGTGGGGGCACCAGCGAAGGGACAAGAGAGGTGAAGGGCGTGGCCCAGGGTGGGCATGCTCGTTTTGGGGGGCCGTGGGGAGTCCAGGCGGACTCAGACCTGGGGGGTCAAACTCTAGATCTGTCACCCACTGGCTCTACGACCTCGGGGGCATGGCCTCACCTCCCTGAGCCTCAGTGTTCACATCCGTGAAGTGGGTTGCCATGAGAATTAAAGTTGTAAGGCATAGGGAGCTCTCAGCAAGGACATCGCATGGGTCCCCATTGCTGTTATTCCTGGGGATAGTAGAGACGAGGGGTGGGGTCCTGGGGCTGTTTGGAGGTTCCAGGAGAGCGTGCTGGGGGAACTGCAGTACGGCTCCCCGGTTCCAGGAGAGCGTGCTGGGGGAACTGCAGTACGGCTCCCCAGGGCCACCAGGCTCCCCCAGTGCCCCACGGGTGGTGAGAAACTGCTTCCTCCCCACTGGGAACGTGGCCCCTTGGCCTCCCTCCCCATCCACAGTGGGGACAGAGCAGAGGGTGAGCAAGGGCAGCTGGGCATACTGCACTCTCAGCCTGGCTGGGAACGGCCTTTGGCAGAAGCTGTCACACCCTGTCACTCTGCACTCTGGAGCCCGGCTCAATGACCTCAGCTGCCCTATCTGTAATATGGGAGTGAGTGGAAGAGTGTGCAATTAAATAAGGATTATATGGCTTAATGTGTATAATGTGTTTAGAGCATGCTTGGCACCCAGCCAGCTCTGCATAGCCATGCACAAATGTTACCATTTGTGCTGCTGGTGATGGTAACAGTGGTACCACCCCCAAATCCTGTCCCCGGGCAGACAGCGCCGCCCCTGCAGGGAACCCGGTGTGGAGAAGGCTAAGCAGTCCCCAGTGCCACCTTTCATCTGTTGGAGCCCCGGGGCTTGTCCACACAGGAGGAGACTGTCGGTTGCCCTGGGCCCCCGGGACCCAGCCAAGGCAGAGAGGGCTGTTTCCAGGATGAGGGAGACCCTGACATGCTACCTGACGTGACACTTCGCGCCGTGGGTCCTTCACCTCTGAGCCTCCCTTCCCTCACCTACCAGCAGAGGTGACATGGCTCACCTCCCAGAGTTGCTGGACCCAGTGCTGTCACGTAGGTGCGAGCCCCTCACTGTAAAGTGCAGGGAGAAGGTCTGTCGTCCTCCCTGGGAGAGCAACACCGGGTCTTCTCACGGGCCCATCCGTGGCGGGGCGGGGTGGGAGCGGGGGAAGGGTGGTGGTGGTCCTTGTCCGTCTGCTCGGGACCTGCCTGGGGGCAGATGCTGGTGTTTCAGTCACTCTGCACGCATCAGAAGTTGTATTCTGGCCTCCGTCATGTTTGGTCACTGGTCAAGATTTTTTCTTACAAGTGTGAATTAGTTGCCCACTTTTACAAATCAGAGAATGCACATCAAAATCCAGATTTCTGCCTTCTCCGGAATAATTCTGTAGGCAGTGAGCCTGGGCCCCCATCTCTGGCTGCTCTGGGGCCACATGATCGCTCCCTCACTCTTTACACGTGTGTGTGTGACCCTGGGCTGAGCCCCGGGTCTCCCTGGGGCAGGCCAGTAGCATACAGGGTGCACACACAGGAAAAGCCTCGGCACCAGTTTCAAAGCCAACTTCGTGACACCGAGCAACTGTGCGCCCTCTCTGGGCTCCAGGTGACGTGTGTGTGAAGTGGGATCATAACTCACAGTGCTTTCTGCGTGGGGCAGCGTGAGGAGCTAGGTCCGTGCTAAGGGCCACACACTCCTCACACGCTCGTGGGGATGTTGCCTTGTGGCCCTCGGGATGGCAGGGTGTGGGCACCGGGTGAGGTTGGAGGCCCTGTTAGCTGGGTTTGGGGGATGTAGAGCAGGTGGGTCTGGACCCTCCTCCGGCACCTGCGGCCCCAAGAACTGGGTGTAGGTCCCCACGAGTGATGTGATGCGGGCCTGTGGCCAGCAGACGGTGCTGGTGTTCCAGAGACAAGCCAGTTCACAGGCATTTTCCCCAAACCTCTGTCTTCCAAAGTTTCAAGTCCACCTGTTCCAACTGAGCCCCTGGAACCGGCAATGGGCTCCGGTCCTTGCCCAGTGACACATTTGCTCTGGCCGGTGCTTCATGGCCGTTACCTCCCTGTGTCCCCCAACCCGATGGGGTAGAGACTATTAATCCCATTTTATAGATGAGGAACCTGACCCAGAGAGGTCCAGGAATGGGCCCATGGTCACCAGCTAGGAAGCACCTTGCCGGGTGATGGCTCCAAAGGCCACCAGCTGCACTGGAGAGCTGAGGGCTGGATTGTCGGGTGGGGGCTGCAGCGGTCACGAAAGGGTTAGGTGGGGCTTGCCCCCACGTGGGGCAGAGGAGGCCTTACAGAAGATGGGGAGAGTGGGGTGAGGCTCAGAGCTGGAGGGGACCGGGCTGGAGGAGGGGACCCTGCCTTGTGGGGTGGGAGGGGAGGCGGTTTGTTTGGAATAGAACAGGTGTGAGGAGGAGAGAAGGAACGGGAGTGGCATCCCGATAGGCCTCAGCAAGGACCTTGGACTTGACCCTGAGGGCCACAGGACAACACCCCGTAGCTGGGAAGGGAGTGCATGACACCCCAGGCTCAGGGCCCTTCCCCCTCGTTGCCCCCAGGTCAGCTGCCAGCCGCGGGCCCCCCACCAGCCATAGGCATGAGCAACTGGAGGAAAGACCACCTTGGCACCAGCAGCTCGGAGCCCCTCCCGGTCGTCATCATCGGTGAGTGCGTCCAGGGGGAGGGGCCGCACGGAGCCCCTGGGGTGGAAGGTCAGGAGCCAGGCAGGCCCAGGCCAGGCCTTTCTTTACAAAAGTTGTCTTTAAAATTGGCCATTGAGCATTCAGGATGTGCCTGGTGCTATGCCTAGCAGTTTATAAAATGTCATTCCCTGTGATCCATCCAAGAACCCACGAAGCCAGAGCAGAATGGTCCACTGAGGCTGCCCAGCAAGGGGGCGGGGAGGCCTGGTCCTAAGCCTGCAATGGTCCCTGTGCTTACCCTGTGCCTGGCACTCTGCTAGGGGCCCACGTGAGGGGGACGCAGCTGCAGCATGTGGTTCCTGTCCTCGGGTCTGCCAAACGGGACAGACGGCCCCTCCCCTGTGCAATGGCCATTTCTGTAAATCAGAGTCAGCTGAACATCAGTGATCGCATATGGTTTGGCCTAAGGGGATTCCACATATGGGTAATACTCTGCACAGCACAAGATAAGGTGGGGGCAGGGAGACTCAGACAAGAAGAGAAGTAACGTCACGAGGGTAAATGCCCAAGAAGTGCCGCAGATGAGCAGTGTGACTCATTCAGGCTTGGGGACTGGAGGCCCCACAGGGGGCTCTGCACCCCTCCTTAGCCCCCCCGCCAAGCTCGCCCCCCAAAGCACAGGAATCTATCCTGTAAGATCATTCTTGTCTGACCACTCTCATAGCTCTCGGAGGACAGAACGAGTTCCTGGTGATCTTAGCATCTGTCACGTTGCTGTGTGACCACAAGCAAGTTACTTAACCTCTCTGAGCCCCCAGCTTTCTCAAGTATGAATGGGGGAAAAGGGTAGCCTGCACCTCACTAACGTTATTGGGAGGGCACAGTGGTCTAATGCACGTCAGGGCTTCACGTGGGGCCTGGCCCAGCAGAAGCATCTGTCACGTCTTACTATTTTGTTATTAAAATCCCTTGAAGCATAATAGGTACTCCGTAAACATCTGTGGTTATCACCTGTACCTCACTGTTGTTGAAGTAGTACCCAGTAGGCTCTCAACAGTCGTCCCTTACTCTGTTACTGTGATTACGCACAGCGCCTGGCACACGCTAAGGACTTACTGTTGTATTTTAATGAATAAAGAGCAAATCAGTGAACCAGTCAGGTCACGACCAAAGCCCTCAGAGCCAGTGGTCTGTTGCACCTACTGGCCCTGCCCTCTGACCCCACCTTCTCTCCCCAGGCAATGGTCCCTCGGGTATCTGCCTGTCCTACCTGCTGTCAGGCTACACCCCCTACGTGAAACCGGACGTCGTCCACCCACACCCGCTGCTGCAGAGAAAACTCACCGAGGCCCCGGGGGTCTCCATCCTGGACCAGGTGGGCCAGAGCTCTGGGCACGGGGCAGGGGACACAGCCGCCCTGGGGAAGCAGGGCAAAAAGAAAAAGAGGCGTTTGTTAGATGCAAGGAGGAACGGGAGTGGCCGCACAGCCAGGCCCGGAAATTGGGAGAGAGGGGTTGCCTTTTGAGACCTGCAGATACCGCACCTGCTTGTCCCACGTTCCCGAGACCAGTGGGTCTAAACCTGCTCTCCTGGGCGCACTTGGCAGTATCTGGAGACAACACCAGTTGTCACAGCTGGAGCTGTGGCACTCCAGGCTCACAGGGTCACGGCCAGGGAGGCCATTTAATCCCCTACAGCACAAGGGACAGTGCCCCCCACAAAGTGTGAGCCGGCCCAAACGTCAGCAGTACCAAAGTCGAGAAATCCTGCCCGAATACTTCAGTTCACTACCCCCTGCCCAAGAGGGCTCACCAATCCTCCATCCATGCCCCTTGCCTTCCAGAAGGCCACCCATTGTCCCCCCCCCAACTTCCAACATCATCCGTCCTCCTAGCTCCTCCCCCCTCAAGTTGGCTGATGAGGAAGTAAGCTGGCATTTGGTCTAGATGAGCATTTCTCAAAATGCCTTCTACAGGACATTTAGTTCCTCAGAGAAAATGTTCATACTTCAGTAAGTCTGAGAGTTACTGGGTCTGGCAAAACTTAAACAGGTAAATTCAGCTGCGGGACTTGTCAGAGCCTTTAACACGTGGATGTGCATTATCTCCATGAGGCAGCATTTTCCAAGCTTGTCTGACCGCCCTGATATCAGGGTACCCCTCTGACCTGTGCACCACCCCCAGGACCTGGATTACCTGTCCGAAGGCCTCGAAGGCCGGTGCCAGAGCCCTGTGGCCCTGCTCTTTGATGCCCTCCTGCGCCCAGACACAGACTTTGGGGGAAACATGGAGTCCGTTCTCACCTGGAAGCACCAGAAGGAGCGAGCCATCCCCCACATGGTCCTAGGCCGGAACCTGCCCGGGGGAGCCTGGCATGTGAGTGGGGGCTGGGAGAGGATGAGAGGGGCTTTGGGCCGAATCCACCCGCGGTCTTGGAGAGACTCCCTCCGGAGGGTTAGGACTCTTCCATTTCCGGCCTTTCCCTAGTCCCTCCCCCTCCTGCCCTCCTCCCCCTCCTCTCCCTCCTCCCCCTCCCTCTCTACCCTTTCTGCACCCACCCCAGCTAAGGCCTCCCATGCCCTTCCTCCCTACCGGGCTGGGGGCTCGGAGAGGCCGGGACCAAAGGGCTCCTTTTGCACACAGTCCATTGAAGGCTCCATGGTGACCCTTAGCCAAGGCCAGTGGATGGGGCTCCCGGACCTGCAGGTGAAGGAGTGGATGTGCAGGAGGCGAAGGTGAGGCTGCTCTGGAAAGCCCAGGGGGGGCAGGGGTGACCGGGGCCCACCCCCACATTGAGCCCAGGAGCCAGAGGTATAGGGGCTCTGAGGCTCCCCTAGCCTGCCCCTCCTCTTACTTCAGGACGGGAAACTGAGGCTCAGATGGGGCGAGGACTTGCCCGGGGCCACAGGGGGCTAGGCTCACCCCAGGACTCCCTGCCAGTGCTCCCTCCACCTGATGCACAACACCCCCACCCCGCCGCCGCCCCCCACCCAACATGGCCCCTGGGAGCATCCCAGCCTCTAAGGAGGGCGTGGCAGGGGCCCTGCCCTGTGCCTCTGGCCTCCCTCCTGCCCTTCCCACCACTCAAACCTGGCCTGGAATAATCTCTTTACTCCAAGGTCAGCTAATAGGATGCACTTCCATTTTTTTTTTTCCTTTAAATTTTTATTGTTATATTAATCACCATACATTACATCATTAGTTTTGGATGTAGTGTTCCATGATTCATTGTCTGTGCATAACACCCAGTGCTCCACGCAGAACGAGGATGCACTTCCTTTTTAAAAAATGCTCTTGCAGTAGAAACATAATCACACAGAGAAAAGGAGACAACTCAGCCGAATGCCACGCTTCTCTGTCACTTTCCCATTTGGGGGTATTTCCCCCATCTTGTTTCCTGCTCCATCAGGACCACACGACACCCATCTGACCGTCCTGGGGGAACAGTTCAGTCACTGACCAAATGAATTCCAGCCCCTACTCATCCTGGGGCTCGAGGCAGAACGCTGCCCAGTGCTCGGCGGGGGGGGCAAATAGGGGATTGCCACTTGCGTGGTGGCTGACCTTGTGTGACACCCTGCTCCCTTCGATCCCCAGGGGCCACGACAGGGGCCCGTCGTCCCCGCCCAGCAACTCAATTCCACAAGGACTGTGTGTCTCTGTGGTTTTGGTAGGAAGATATCCAGGCTGCTGGAGTGATGTGTTAGCAGAGAGACAGGAACCGCAGTTGTAATTGGGGACATACCCTTTTATATCCTACTTGTAAATTTAATATCATGGCATAAGGACCTCGGGCGGGGGAGACAGGGTTTGCAACCGTCCTTTCCCGAGGCTGCATGATATTCCCGATCGAGCCCCTCTCCGTGGTCTGTGTCTAGACACTGCCCGGGCTCCGGAGCCCCACCCAGACCTGGGGCTTCGCTTCTTTCTGAGCCGCCCTTCTTAGAACCCTGTATCTAACATCTTAGGACCGTTCTCTGGAAAGGTTTTTACTCAGAGAAGGGAAGTGACAAACCTACAGACACAGACCGCAGAGTTCCAGTTTCAGAAGCAGACTGACGTGCTGGGCTGCGTGGCGTGGCCTTGGGGGGTGCACTGTGAGCTGGCGCTACCGTTGGTCCTGCTGGGTGTCACGGAGGATCCTCCATCTTTTTTATTTTTTAATTTTAGAGCACAAGAGGGGGGGGGAGCAGACGGGGGAGAGGGACAAGCACATGAGGCTCGATCTCACGATCCTGACGTCAGAACCTGAGCCAAAACCAAGAGTGAGACCCTCAACCAACTGCGCCACCGAGGCGCCCCACGTAGGATCCTCCTTAAGCACAACGTGTCCGAAGTTGGAGAAAATAACCCACTGAGGTCACACCAGTAGACAGAGGGAGGAGCGGAGAGCTCGCCCCAGGCCTGTGGCTCAGCCCCCTGGCGACACTGGCCGTGCGGTCATTGCCCTGGGAGGGGTGGCAATGAGAGCGAAAGCAGGAGTCACGACACTGATAATAAAGTAGTCTCTGCCGTAGCGGTGTGTGCGGGGGACTCTGCCAAGTGCTCGGCATGGGTTATTTTTAAATTAATGTGTTTTATTGAAATACAGCCTGCCTACGGAACAGCGCACCACTCCAGCGCATGCAGGTGGCTGGGTTGTCTCAAAGAGCTCACACCTGCACTGCAGCTGCCCAGAATCAGAGCTAGATCCCCTGCCCCCAGGAGCCCTCCTCACAGCCAGCCCCCTCCCCCCCCCCGGGGGGAGCCACTTCTTCACCTCGAACTCCATGCATCAGCTTTACCTGTTTCTGAACTTGATAGGAATGGGATCCTAGCATCTTTCCATAGATTAGGATTTAGTCCTGGGAGGCAGGACTGGTGGCTGACCCTCACCTGCCACTCACTACCTGGCAGGTTCTGTGTCACACCACCGTCTGACCCTCTCAACAACCACAGGAAATAGTTCCGTCACCGCCATCATCCCCATTGCACAAATGAGGAAACTGAGGCACAGAGCGTTTCAGGCACATAGCTCTCCAGCAGCAGAGCCAGGATTTGAACCCCGGCCACCACACCCTCACCCCTACCCTGATGAGGTACCCGAATTAGCTCCGTTTTACACACGAGGAGCTGGAGGCACCGAGGGGTAAACCGAGTCCCACGGCAGGGGGAGGCAGAGCCACAGTCCAGCCCCAGGGCCCGCCGCCACCGGCCTGGTCACCCCTGTCACACCTGATCACCCCCACACCCTGGTCTGCTCTCTGACACCCTCCTCCCCCCCACCTCACCCCCCGCCATCCTTCCCTTCAGAGGTCTTCGGAACAGCCGGGCCACGGCTGGGGACATCGCTCACTACTACAGGGACTACGTGACCAAGAAGGGCCTGGGCCACAACTTTGTGTCCGGCGCCGTGGTCACGGCCGTGGAGTGGGGGACACCCGCGTCCAGCGGCTCCGGGGCCCAGGACCCCGGCCCGCTCTTCCAGGTGAGCGGCTTCCTGACCACCGAGGACCAGAGCCGGCAGCCCTTCTCCCTGTGCGCCCGCAACGTGGTCCTGGCCACGGGCACGTCGGACAGCCCGGCCCGGCTGGGCATCCCCGGGGAGGCCCTGCCTTTCGTCCACTACGAGCTTTCGGCCCTGGAGGCGGCCACGCGGGCGGGCACGGTGAGCCCGGCCTCGGAGCCCGTCCTTATCGTGGGCGCGGGGCTGTCGGCCGCCGACGCCGTGCTCTATGCCCGCCACTACAACATCCCGGTGATCCACGCCTTCCGCCGGCCCGTGCACGACCCTGGCCTGGTCTTCAACCAGCTGCCCAAGATGCTGTACCCTGAGTACCACAAGGTGCACCAGATGATGCGGGAACAGTCCATCCTGTCGCCCAGCCCCTACGAGGGCTACTGCAGCCTCCCCGAGCACCAGTTGCTGCTCCTCAAGGAGGACCGCCAGGCCGTGTTCCAGGACCCCGAGGGCCTCCAGAAGGTCTTCGGCGTGGCCCTGGTGCTGGTGCTCATCGGCTCCCACCCCGACCTCTCCTTCCTCCCCGGGGCAGGTGCGAACCTGGCCATGGACCCCGACCAGCCCCTGAGCGCCAAAAGGAACCCCATCGATGTGGACCCTTTCACTTACCAGAGCACCCACCAGGAGGGTCTGTACGCTGTGGGGCCACTGGTGGGGGACAATTTTGTGCGGTTCGTGCAGGGTGGGGCCCTGGCAGTGGCCAGCTCCCTGCTGAGGAAGGAGGCCAGGCAGCCACCCTAGCACCTGGCCTGGCCTCCTCGTACCCAGGCCCTAAAGAGGAAGGGAGATTCTACAGCCCCACTGGATGCCCCAGTGAGGGAAGGGGGCCTCTCCTGGCAGGAGACAGGAGGGGCCGTGAGCCCATGCAACAGGCCTCTCGGCTGAAGAGGAGTGGGGAACCCAGGCTGCCTGGGCTAGGACTAGTGCCCAGAGTGGGAACAGAGGCTGCAGGCCAGGGTAGGCCGTGATTTGGGGTGAAAGCTGCTGGTATGAATTGGGGTTACCAGGGCCAGCTGAGCACTGAGCCAAGAGGACACCAGGCCCTGCTCCTTCCAGAATCAGGTCCTAATTAAACCCAGTGCCTGCCTCCACTCATGTGTCTGAGGATTCTGTGCGTGGGGAGGGGGCTGGGTGCCCAGGGCGGGGGAGTGGGGGGAGAGAAGCACAGGGCCATGTGGGAGGTGGGATGTGCTGCAAGTCTGGGCACAGCTGTGTTAGGAAAGTGAGGGGAGGGGGTGTGGGGGGGAATGGTAGGCTGGGGAGGCTTTCACAGCCCCTGCCCACCCCTCCAGCCTAGTCCCTGCCCCTCTCCCACGCTCCCTCCCAGCCACGCTGTCTCTTTTCAGGCCCTCATGCTCCCCATCCTTGCACCTGTCACAGGGCCTTTGCAGGGGCTGGGCTCCTGGCCAGTCCTTCCACTCTCTCAACCTAAGGATCACTTCTTCCAGGCGGCCGCCTCTGACACGAGCCCCTCCGTAGCCACCAGGGCAATCCCCTGTTCGTGGCCCAGGTTTCATGGCAGTTCAGTAGTAATGGTTCATATATCTGGGGAATCACTCCGGTATCTGCTCACTTGGATCTAGGTTCCAGGAGGTCAAGCACCCCCCCCCCCCCCCCCCCGCCCCGCCCCGCCACCATTAGTGCAACCCAGCGCCTAGCACGGGCCTTAAGTCGTCCTTTGGACAGATGGATGATGGGTGGATGGTGGTGAGGGGAAGAAGGTGTTCTGGGGCACCAGTCGGCGCTGTGCTGTGGGAGGGGGAGGTTTGAGGGGGCACGCAAGCCCCCGGGAGTGGTGGGGGAGGCCCAGCGCGTGGGCTCTGGTCCCCGGAGCTGCAGCCGGCAGAGGGCGCTCCGGGCTCGCCGGACACCTGCGCTCCGGCCCTTGCGTCGGCGCCACGGGTGGGGTGGGGGAACCTTCGGGAGGGGGGCAGCGGGAGACTTTCGGGGGGCGGCCCCCAGGGAGCCCCCGGCTGCGCAGCCGGACGCCCACCGACCCCATGCCTCCTGGGCAGCCCCTTCCGTGGCCGGGCTGGGGTCCAGCCCCCAGCACCGCGCGTCTCCCGCGGTTAGCCCCCTGCCGCCGCGCCCGGCTGCCGGGGGCCGGGCGGGGGGGGGGGGGCGGGGGGCACCGGGGCCAGGGGCCGGGGGCCCGGGGGGGCGCCCCCCCCCCCCCCGTCCCCCGGCGCCGGTCCGTCCCCGCGGTGGCCGCGGCCGCGGGGC